CGCGTGTGTACAAGGGTGTGTATATATATATATATATATATATATAGTCCTTTTCTCTTATCATTATATATGGGTGGGTGTGTATATACCTATGCGGATAAAAGTCAACGCCACGTTGCGCACGCTGGTCCACTGATGCCCATCGAGGAGTAACCAATCGAGCTCGGCGACGCGGTTGGCATTGAAGGTACACACCTGCCGATCGAGCACAATCATTATCACCCCCGTCGTTCGATCAACCATAAAAGAGAAAGATATAATGAAACGAAAGTGAAAAAGCTCGTTTACCATTAAGTCGCCCAGCCCTCGGTGATCCTCGAGCGTTTCATGAGCGGTCCGTTCTCGTAGTCGCTGGTGGGCCCTGGGCCCCCGTGGCTCGTGCGCATGTCGCCGACGACGACGCCGCCACCGGCGGCTGACGAGCCAGCGTGGCCGGGCGAGGGTAGATTCGTCGGCGTTATGCTACCCGAGTGCGACGGCGGCGGGTTGCTGCCCGGCCTGTTCACCGAGACGAGATTCAAGGTTTGGGGCCCACCGTGCTGCTGCTGCGACTGGTGGACCTGGTGAGGCGGTGGCGGCGGCTGCGGCCCGCCCGACGACGAGGACGGCCCACCCAGGCTCGTGTGACCTGTCGGAGAAAAGACGATCGGCTCTTTAGTATATACGGTATATTACATGATCGCTTTAGGTGTACCATATACATATATGTATACTTGGGTGCTTACCTGGATGGTGGAGGCTGGACGCGTGACCGGCGAGGGACCCGTTGGAGCCGCCCCCGCCGTGGTGATCTCGGGGCGGACTGATGGGCTCGCTCTTGATTTTCACGGGTATCGGCGACGTCGAGGGCGGAGGCGTGCTGTTCGATACCGACATGTGATGAGGAAGACTGCTGGAAAAGACAAGTAAAGAGCGCGTTTTTTTTTTGTTTTTTTTTTTTTTTTTGTTTTTTTTCAACTTTAATATTGAGCACCGAGTTCGGGAGAGATAGAGTTGACCGAATGATACTATTGTAATAAAATAAGGTGCACAATTGGTTAGTCAATAAGCAGGTGATGCAAATGAGGGGATTATACATCGTTGTTACCGAGAAAAAAAAAGGAACAAAGAAACTATGTTAAACGGTGTCCAGCGAACAGTAGAGGATGTACTTTTGGCGTCGAGTACAATACGAAACATATTTCACGAGTGGTACATGAAAATAATTGTTTATTTGATAGAAAGAGTACGTCAGTCAAGGTACCAAAAAAAAAAAAAAAACACGAAAGCAAACTGAAAATTGTGGCCATGCTGACTGTAAGATACGTATTTACGTTTTGGGGAAAAAAAAAAAAAAAAAAAAAAAAACTGTAACGCAAGTTATTGCGAGTGTAAGTAGCATACGCGTTGATGGCAAACCAAACGAAAACGAGCAAATGAATCAAATATAATCATGCAAACAGGAAAAACTGGACGCACAGTCTTTTATTTTTTCTTTTTCAAAGTAACAACAACTTAATGATTTGAATGAAAATTACCTTATACTGGACATGGTGGCTGCCGAATACATTGACAAGTCATCAACGTACCTCTGATGAGTCCAGGCAAGACTGCTGATGTCCGTCGAATAATCCGTCGGCCCGAAACCGGTGTAACTTGACGGCACTACCGACGGCGTCTGCAGCGCCACTACCGGTGGCGTGTTCAAGCTCCCCTGTCCGTGTCCACCCTGTTTGAGATTTTTTTTTTTTTTTTTTTTTCTTTCTTCATCAATATTTCTCGCGTCAAACGTAATTTGAAAACCCCTCGCAGGTTTTATCACAAAAATCGCTCTATCGATTTCACGAGAGAGACGGAGAGAGAAGAGTTTATTCAAGGAATCATCTTCTCCGGTAAGCAGGAAACTTTAATTATTCAAGCGATTGTAACCGAGTTGAGCTGTATATATAACTCTCCGCCCCTCTCGAGAACATCGCGTGCATAAATAACGTCGCGCCCAACGAAATCAAATCTGGAAGTTGTTAAAAAAAAAAAAAAAATTGACACTCACGTCGTAGTTGGCCTCGTCGGCCAGGGATTGTGCAATCGGCGTTGGTATGACGACGCGCAGGTTACCCCGATGGGGATGAGGCGGCGGTGGCGGCTGAGGCGAGTGCCTCGACGGATTACCTTTTGAGACGGGCACACCTAGGGCAGGCGATGGCCCAGGACTCGGTGAGCCCCCCAACGGCGAACCCGGGGTGTACCCGTTGCTCATCTCCAGCATCCCTCCAGGCGGGTAAACTGTAACCACATGTACACGCAATCGTTATAACGAAACTTTCATTCGGTGTGTACGCATCAATTGGCCGTTGGGCACTCACCTGAATCTGTTTCAGAGGACGAGGGTCGCGGGGAGATGCTGGCGTGGGCCATCTGCGGACTAGAGCCGAGCATTTGTTCCCCGTAATTGTTGACCGGCACAGTCACGGGCAGCGTGTAATTGGACTGTCCCATCTGGTGGAACGGAGGTATTGGATTTAAACAAAAGTTGTTGGAAGGGGGGAAAAAAAAAAAAAAAAAAAAAACAAGAAAATGTAGGAAACAAACCGACCCTCGAGCCGTTGTGCTGGTTCCTGATGAGCATCTGAAAGTCCTCGTCAATCTTGGCGTACTTGGCCTCGGTGCGCGGGGTGAGGTTGTACTCCTGGGCGTCCGGCTCCGGGCTCTCGGGCGACATCGCGCCCTTATGCTCCTTCTTGTTGAGCGCCTGCAAGTTGCAGCAGACAGGTTCACGTGACCACACCGCCCGAGGGCACACAATCTTTCGCATGCACTTTTTTTTCCAACTCCCTCCCTCCCTCCCTCATCTAAATTCCTTTTCACTCACTCGCGTCTGTCCGCAGGTTGATTTGCCCGCCGATTGAACATCGTACCTTACCGATCATCAGGATTCATTTATTATGTACACGCGATGTATAAACAAGAGAGTGTCAATCCGCGCGAGGATAATTATATACGCATGTATCCGTTGTCGATAAGAGAACAAAAAAGTGTTTAGCTTCTCCGGTTAACTTGAAAAATCTATAACTCGATCGGCTTCTTCTTCCTCTCTCTCACTTATCGTGAGTTCTAGAGGTCGCGTTTTTTTTTGTTTTACTTTTCCTCCTTTTCTTTTTTGGGATAACAACGCGGCGGCAAATCACCCTCGCAGACTCGCCATCGCTTGCATCCTCATCACAAGCACACACACACACACGCGCGCGCACACTTGGGCCCTCATGGAAAAACGTTCATTCGTCGCATAGTCACACGCGTTCCACGAGTTAAGTAAAAGTATCGGTAAGGGGTAATGAGGCCGAAAATTCGGGCAACTCACCTCGATGATGTTTTTATTGGTCAGCGACTCGTGGGGCTCGTTGTACTCGGTGTACTTGAGCAGAACCTTGTCCATGTCGGTGCTCGCGTATTGGTAGAGCTTGTTGCTCGAGCTGAAGATTATCAGGGCGATCTCGCAGTCGCACAGGACGGACAGCTCGTACGCCTTCTTCATCACGCCGAATTTTCGCTTGTTGAACGTCACCTATGCGATCATCGTACGTATTGTTGAGTTTTTAGTTTTTTACTCTCTCTGCTTTTCTCGTATCTTTTTTTTTTTTTTTTTTTTTTTTTTTTTTTTTTTTTTTTTTTTTTTTTTTTTTTTTT